GGCGGGTCAGGAGAGGTCTGCCACACCATGTGGTCACCTCCGGGGCAGGCGGGAATCGAACTCATGCAGAAGCGGCTTTTAGATTCTCAGTGCTGTGCTTTAACCTGCTGCGCCACCAGGGAGGGCCATTATTATTTTTTAATTAAATGGCATTTGGTACCAACAAGGTGATTTTGATAGCCTCTAGTAAGAGAGCAAAGCTTTTCTGGTGAACTTAGAGCCATGGTGTCTGGTAGGTTCTTCGGCAGAAAATGGGTGACTACAGAGAAGACTATTTCCTTATTGCACCTTAGTTAGCTACCACTGGTCTGGGAGTAAGGTGGAGCAAGATTTTGGTAACCCTCTGTGACCATATATCTGAATGTGCTTGGTGGCATTATTTAAGTTCTTTGAGTCGCAAGTATCCTCGTCAGCTCATGATGTAGAACTATTCCAGAGTTGTGAGCACTGTGAGCAATGTGAGGTGCCTGGCATAGCCCTGGAACATAAAATGTCATTTCTGAACCTTTTCCATTTCTTCACAAGGGCAGTTGTGAGAAAATGAGACCTGATGTAGATTTGTGAAAATATTTTTGCTTGTCCTTATTCCATAGTTGGAAAAAGAATAGTTATAGTTACTCTCACTTAAGGAATAAGATTATTGGAACTTGGAAAGGAATTTTCCTAAGACTACAGAAACCAGATTTTAGAATCTAGGCATATTAGCCTGATGTATTAGATAATGCAGATCATTTATATAAATGATTGCTCAGTGTAAGCTTTCTGGAATTTGTGAAGTAAAAAATGGTTGTGACCTATTTCTTTGGTAAGTTTCACCATAAGGCATTGGGGGGCTCCCTGGTGGCCTAGGGATTAAATCTCACTGTTGTCACCACGATGGCCTGAGTACAATCTCTGAGTAGGGCGCTAACCACACATGGTGCAGCAGATCTCTCCTGTCTCGCATGCTGCTCCCTTCAGCAGTGTATTTCAGTCAGCCTGCCTGCTCTGTTCCCCACTCTGTTTCTGGTGAATCCTCTCACCCCTCACCCCTCTGGCTGACACCCCAGTTTTTCTATGCATAAATAAATAGAAATTAATCTTTTAAATTAAAAAAAAGATAGTGGGGGTAAGATTTAAGATTTTTTTTAATGAACTAATTTTGAGGTAATTGGTAGATTCACATGTAGTTGTAAAAGAAAAACACAAAGCAATTCGTGTGTGCTTTCAGTTTCTCTCAGCAAATACATCTTGTAAAACTGTAGTCAAATTCCATAACCAGGAAATTGACGTTGATACCACCTACTCACCTCACTTAGATTTCATTAGTTTTACATGTTCTCAGTTGTATGTGTACGTGTGTTTAATTCTCTACCGTTTTATGGGAGTAGGTTCCCACCACCATGGTGAGGGCACAGAGGAGTCTTTCTGTAAAGATCCCTCATGTCACCCTTTATAACAGTACCTCCTCCCATAACCCTTGAGAATCATGAGTCTTTTCTCCATCTCTGTAGTTTTGTTATTTCTGGAGTTTTATATAAATAGAAA